ACGCTACCCTGGGTGTCTTCTGGAGAAGCATCTGTTTAATATCGATTTATGAGTTTTCATTTCGATATTTATGAGATGATCAGATGAGAAGTATTTGAAGATTTATTAAAGATAACCCATCCCGTCGAAGATGCTACGGAGGGAGAAGAAGTGATCAATTGTTCAGGGAGTTATTAGAAATATGCGGGCGATTTGTATCATCTCATTGTCGGCAACAACTGCAACACCAACAACAATGCATCATACCACAACCAGTTGTTCGATGCTGCTGTTGTTGTTGCAACTCTTCATCATCCGCATTCATTAAGGATGGTCTCAAGTGAAAAGTATATGCTGAGGCATAATTATTTATGGGCTCCTCCTCAGTTAAATGGGATAACACACTTCGTCTTGATTATATTGAGATTTATTACGCCAAAGCCTTTACAATTTGGAATTTGTGTGTTGAACAAACAAACATGCAAACAACGAAGGAAAACAGGAAAATAAATCAATTATCAATTTCGATATTAAACTGGAATGCGTTGCAATGTGAAGTTTCAGGAAAAATGTTCTCGAGAAAAATATTTTAAGGTCTTCCATTGGAATGAAAAGCCTCAATGGTCTTCGTTTAGTAAAAAAAAAGACTTCAGTGGTTTTCTATAGACACTGGAAGGCCCCTAGGCCTTTAATATTCAAAAGAAGACTTTAAGGTAATCTATACCGAAGAAGCCCTCAAGATCCTATATATGGGTATAAAATACTCCCCGGTCTGTTATTGTCAATAGAAGACGTAATGGTCTACCAGAGCGTATTTATAACATCCATCTCCTCTGAAACAATTAGAAAACCCTTAGGTATTCTATAATCAATTAAAGACCTCATGGTTTTCCCAAATGTTTTCTATAGCGATTAGAAGACCTCCAGATCCGCTATAGCGAATAGAATAGGATAACTTCAAGGTCTTCTGTGTTGAAGGAAAGTCTTCAAAGTTTTCTGTTGTGAATAGAAGACCACAAGCACATTCATAGGCAAAAGAATACTTAAAGTTTCTTTATTGCGAATAGAAGACCCCCAGGACTTCTTTAACTCTTGGAAGACCTTCAGATCTTATGAAGCGATTAGAAGAAATCCGGGTCGTCCGTAGCGATAAGAAAGCGTCGAGGTTCCATGTGAACATTTGAAGACCCGATCCCGAAGTCTTCTACAGAAGTTCTTTTCGTCTATGGACGTTAGAAGTCCGTTGGATCTTCTATGGAAATCAGAAGACTTTCTGGTCTTCTGTGGAGGTCAGAAAACCTTCTTATGTGAGCGTTAGACAGCTTTCAGGCTTAGAAAAACCTTAGATCTTCTATGGACGTAAGGAGTCTTCAAGATTTTCTAGAGCGAAGGGAAGATCTCAAGAACTTCTATGGACGTCACAATACCTATTGGAAGACCTCCAGATCTTCTGAAGCAATAAGAAGACATCCAGGTCATCTATAGCGATTAGAAAGCGTCGAGATTCTATGTGAAAATTTGAAGACCACGAAGTCTTCTACAGAAGTTCAGATCGTTCATGCACGTTAAAATACCTTTAGGTCTTCTATGGAGTTCAGAAGGACTTCAATTCTTCTATGATTATCAGAAGACTTTCAGGTCTTCTATGGACGTAAGAAAATATTCTCTTACGCATGTTAAGTAGCCTTCAGGTTAAAAAAAAAAAACTTTAGTTCTTCTGTGGACTTATGAGACCTCAAGATATTCTAGAGCGAAGAGAAGATCTCAAGAACTTCTATAAACGACAGAATACCTTGTTTTAAGGACTTTAAAAGTCCTTTAAGTCCACTATAGACTTTTAAAGACCTTCAAGTCATCTATGGATATTAGAAGACTTTCAGGTCTTCTTTGGACATTAGAACGTGTTCAGATGTTCCACGCACATTAGAAGACCATCAGATCTCCTGAGGACGTTAGAACACCCTAATGTCCTCTATGGAAATTAGAACACCTTAATGTCATCTATGGACGTTAGAAGGCCTTCAGGTCTCCTGTGGACGCTAGAACACTTCTGTGGACGTTAGAACGCCTTAATGTCCGCTATTGACGTTAGAAGGCCTTCAGGTCTTCTATGGACGTTAGAAGGTCTTCAGGTCTTCTATAGACGTTAAAATCGCTGAAGAGCTTCAAAGGACGTAAGAAGGCCACGCCCAATATAAAGGTACCTTTTAGCTACATTTTTCAATGCTATCATCTGAAAAACCACAAAAGAAATTATTTCAAAGTACTTTACACCCTGGAAGAGAATTGTTATATAGGTCCACGATATCGAATAGCCCCCATACAACGGTACCCCCCGATATTCGATATTTTGATGATTTTAGAGACACCGGAATTGTTTCAAATTTCATATTTGAAGTTCCTAATGGTTACTATAGCCTGTGCCAGAAAATTGTCTATGCAATACCTAACGGCACCTCCCTGTATTGGGAATTTTGATGATTTTAGCGACATTATTCACCGGAATTGTTTCAAATTTCATTTTTGGAGTTCGATATTCGGTATTTTGATGATTTTAGCGACGTTATTCACCGGAATAGTTTTAAATTTGTTATTTGAAGTTAGTAATGGATACTACAGCCTATGACAGAAATTTGTCTGTGCAGTTCCACGTCTTCGTATAGCCCCCATATAACGGTACCTCCCGATATTCAGTATTTTGATGATTTTAGCGAATTTATTCACCGTAATTGTTTCAAATTTGGTATTTGAAGTCCATAATTGATACTACAACCAAAGACAGAAAATTGTCTGTGCAGGTCCACGTCTTCGATATTCGGTATTTTAATGATTTTATGGACATTTTTTCACCAAAATTGTTTCAAATTTGGTATTTGAAGTTCGTAATGGGTACTACAGCCTATAACAGAAAATTGTCTGTGTAGGTCCACGTCTTCGTATAGACCCCATATAACGGTACCTCCCTATATTCGGTATTTTGATGATTTTAGCGAATTTATTCACCGGAATTGTTTCAAATTTGGTATTTAAAGTTCGTAATGGGTACTACAGCCTAAGACAGAAATTTGTCTGTGCAGGTCCACCTCTTCGTAAAGCCCCCATATAACGGTACCTCCCGATATTCGGTATTTTAATGATTTTAGGGACAGTTTTCATCAGAATTATTTCAAATTTGATATTTGAAGTTCGTAATGGATACTACAGCCTACGACTGAAAATTGTCTGTACAGGTCCTCGTCTTCGTATAGCCCCCATATAACGGTACCTCCCGATATTCGGTATTTTGATTTTATCGACATTATAACCGATTTCTTTTTAAGTTTCGTATTTGAATATTGTAATGGCTTATGACAAATGTTACCTACGCAGGTTCATGTCGTCGTATAGACCCTAATATAATAGCTACACTCGGTATTTTTAAGATTTTAAGAGAATTTTTAACGGATTTTTTTGTTTTTGAGAATTGGAAAATTCATTCCAAATGGTGGAGGGTATTCAAAGTTTGGCCCGGCCGAACTTACAGCTTTTTTACTTGTTAAAAAGTAGGATTTTAATTGTTGGTTGGATTTTTTCAGAATTTTGCATATTTCAAGTTTTAAGGTCGCTGATACGCCAGTAGCTGTTAAAAAAGAGCTATGAATTTTTTAACCCAATTTCCAATCTTGTCGGGTAATTTACAAATTGAATATTAGCATATTAACATATTTATCTGAAATATTTTGACAAAAAAATAAAAATGGCACTCAAAAATATGGCAGCTATATCAAACTGTCATAATAATTCACATTATATTGTAATTTTAATTCTCTCGACATTTAATTTGCAAAAGCTCCTTAAATCTATAATATTTTTAATGTTTGTTTTCCTTCCTTTGCCAAAAGTCTCTTTTAACCCAGTGGCAGCTAAACTAAAAATACTAAACAATTTATACTATATAATCATTTTGATATATCCGATCTTAGTATGTTTTCCTTGCTTCTTTTTTCATGCATTATAATACATTTTGTATCTTGTAAATGAGAATCGCTCTTCATCGAGTGGCAGCTAAGTCAAAATCAAATATATCATTCCTATGATATAATTATTTTAAATATATTGGTTTAATTTACAATGCTTGATTTTAATTTTTAATATTTTAATATATTTCGTGTCTTGTAAATAAGAATCGTACTTATTCGAGTGGCAGCTAACGCAAAAATTATTGTATCATTCATATTATGTCATCGTTTTAAATAGGTCTACTTTTAGTGTGTAATGTTTATTCCTATTTTTAATATTTCAATATTTTTCGATAAAAAAAAAATTGCTCTTAATCGTGTGGCAGCTAAACCAAAAGCTTCTGTAGCGTTTCTACAATGGTACCCTATTAAATCTTTCTACATTTTATAAGCAGTAGATTCTCAAATGTCCTATACTACAAAGCATTTCCGTGCTTCCACCTAAAACGCACTCTCCAGCGTGTGGCAGCTAAAGCAATATTATAATGGATTTTGTGTCTTGTAAATAAGAATCGCACTTATTCGTGTGGTAGCTAATGCAAAAATTATTGTAGTACTCATATTATGTTATCGTTTTAAATAGGTCTACATTAATGGATTACGTTTTGGTCTATTTTTAGTATATCACTAATTTTCGATAAAAATTTGGTCTCAATCGTGTGGCAGCTAAACCAAAACCTATTGTAGCGTCCTTATTATGGTTCAATTTTAAATCATTTGGCATTAAATGTGCAATGGTTTCTCAAATTTCATAAACTACAAAGAATTTCCTTGATTTCACTTAAAAATCGCCCTGGAGCGAGTGGCAGCTAAACCAAAACTACTATTCTCTCGATGATATGGCATAAATACAACGATTTCTTTAAGATTTTTTAATGTTTCAATGAATTTTTTTTTGTCTCCCATCCAAACCCTGTAGACCAGTGTTCGTTTCCACGAATTAGAGATAAGACAATTTAAATCAATACAAATAAAACCTCTAGTCATCAGACAATTGAGAAGACAACAAATTTAGATCAGTAGCCAAGACGTCACTATCACGAAAACATTGAACATCGGCAGAAAGAAAAAAAAAGCGAAACGTTTGTGTCACACTATGAGAAAAATTGTCGGTCTTGTGGCCTTCGCATGGAGATTTCTCCTACTGTCTTCGATTTATGGGCCATTTAACACGGCAGCCCAGAGCGGTGTATCGTTTGATGAACGACGTCTCCAGCAAATTTCCCAAAGCATGAATCCAAAACTGAAGATGTGTGGTGATTTCTACAGCTATGCCTGTGAAAATTGGCAGGGTCCGGAATTAATTAAAATTTTGGAGGAGAAAATTCAGGGGGACACCTTGGAGATACTTGAGCAGTTGTATCGGGCAAGTGAACCGAAATTTCTACGGGAATTATATCAATACTATGAGGCCTATAAGGAGGTGGAAAATCCCCAACCAATGGAGTATTTGAAATGGTTGAGGGTCTATGAAAATATGGAATGGTCGTTAATGGAAAATAAAACCCTGAGCGGGGAGAAGCCATGGAAATGGAATGTGGATTGGTTGGAGCTGTTGGCAAAGTTACGGCAATTTGGTTTCAATGACCTATTCTTTCAAGAGGATGTTATCCAGAGTAAGGAGGATCCTTATAAAGGCGTTGTGGAGCTGAAGATCCCAGATCTGTCATATTTATATGATTTTGAACAACAGGTTTATATTTTGGGGGATTTGATAGATGAAAGTTTGGTGGAATCATTGGCTGAGTTCCAGGCGGATTTATCGAAAATTACCCTGGAATTGGTACACTCGGAGGAGAGTGATGATTTCAATTATCGTTATTTAGATATGGCAAGCTCTAGTCGGGTTGAGGGCAAACTGGTGGCCCTCAAAGATCTCTATATGCCCTGGCTAAATAAATATTTGCAGCTGATTTTGCAACAAACCACCCTGGATCCCAACATGCAAATTCAGGTGCAAAGTGTGAAATATTTAAAGAGAATCTACAGCTTCCTCAGCAAATATGACAATCAAATGCTTTGTGATTACATACAAATAAAATTCCTCATATTTCTCATGAAGGATGATCGGATCCATTATAAAATGGATGCGGTGAATAATATTAGGAAAAATTTCCCCATAATTCTGCAATGGATCCATGGACGCATACACAAGGAGCTGCCAAGGGATGTGGGGGTTGTACAAAGACTTTTCAGCAATTTGAAGGAAAATTTCAAAAAGGTTCTCCAATCCAAGGCCTCCACTTTACCCAGCTCCCTTTTGGAACACATGATGGCAAAATTAAATACCTTGGAGTTGGTGGTGCTCGATAAATCCCCCATGGAATTGGAATTCTATTATGGTTCATTATCTTTCCTCAGCACTGAGTACTATGGCAATCGCCTGCGTTTGAATCGTTTTAAATTCCAAAAACAACACTCGAAATTGCATAAAGTTTATCCCAGGAACTCCTTGGAATATTTGGATTTCCGGCCAAGTGGTGGCGATAAAAGGGATTATCCCTATCCATTGCCATTATTATATCCTCGTTTAAATATCATTTCCCTACCCCTAACCCTGCTGCAGGAACCATTTTATCAAACCAATATGGGGGAACTTTTCTCATATAGTTCGCTGGGATATTTGCTGGCCCATGAACTTACCAAAGCCTTTGATTCGCAGCATTTGAAAATTGATGCCCAAGGCATTGAACATACCATCCTGCCTGGTCGTAAACCCAAATCCGCCGAAGATACAGAAGATGATGACGAAGATGATTTTTCCAAAGATCCTGTCATTGATGATTTGGCTGGTTTGAATCTTGCCTACACAACCTTCGCCCGAGATCATGCTGTGATCTTGCCTCAGGTTGTCACATTGCCCAACAAAGTTGCTCTATCCATGGAAAAGGTGTTCTTCCTGAATTATGCCCAATTATATTGCTCTTCATTTTGTGGTTTCCATCCCATGGCCGATTTCCATAGCTATGATGCCTGTGCCCGAGTCAATACACCCGTGAGACATTCGGTGGTATTTCGACAGGCATTCAGTTGTGGTGCCTTGTCCGAGGAGGATGTAGCGGAGTTTGCATTGTTGCCGAAACCTAAAGGGGATATGCGTTAGTATTAATTGGAATATTTCAATATTGTTTTGAAATTGTTAATTTGAATTAGAATAATAAAGATTTTCAATCAAAAAACGTGGATTTTTTTACCCTCTTAATAATCTCCACCATTTGGAAGGAACTTGAAATTTTTCAAAAAAAACTTCCGGAAACTTAAATGCAAACTGTTATATGGAGACTATACGAAAACATGCCGAGTATTGGTAGGTACCGTCATATGGGGGCTATACGAAGGCGTGGACCTGCATACATAAATTTTTGTTATAGGCTGTAGCACCCATTACGAACTTCAAATACGAGATTTGAAATAATTCCGGTAAATAATGTCGCAAAATTCATGAAAATACCGAATATCGAGAGGTACCGTTATATAGGGGCTATACGAAGACATGGACCTGCTTACGAAATTTTTTGCCATAGGCTGTAGTACCCATTACGAACTTTAAGTACGAAATTTGTTACTATTCCAGTGAATAATGTCGCACAAATCATAAAAATGCCGAGTATTGGGAGGTACCGTCATATGGGGGCTATACGAAGACGTGGACCGGCAGACATAAATTTTTGTCATAGGCGGTAGCACCTTTTAAGAACTTCAAATACGAAATTTGAAACGATTCCGGTAAATAATGTTGGTGAAATCATCAAAATACCGAATATCGGGAGCTACCGTTATATGGGGGCTATACGAAGACGTGGACCGGCATACATAAATTTTTGTCATAGGCTGTAGTACCCATTAAGATCTTTGAATGCGAAATTTGAAATAATTCCGGTGAATAATGTTGCTGAAATCATGAAAATACCGAATATCGGGAGGTAGCGTTATATGGGGGTTACACGAAGACGTGGACCTGCATACAAAAATGTTTGTCATAGGCTGTAGTACCCATTACGAACTTTAAATATGAAGTGTGAAATAATTCCGGTAAATACTGTCGCTAAAAGCATGAAAATACCGAATATCGGAAGGTACCGTTTAATGGGGGCTATACGAAAACGTGGACCGACATGACTTATTTACGAACTTAACCTACCTACTGGTAAACTATGCATGTATGCAAAATTTTAGCCTTCTATCTCAATTCGTTCGAAAGATATCGTGATTACAACAGACAGACGGGCAGACAGATAGGCGGACATTGCCAGATCGCCTTTGAATTTTACGTTGATCCAGAATATATATACTTTGTAGGGTCTATTATAAATATTTCGAGGAGTTACAAACGGAATGACAAAGTTTATATACCCTCCATAGAATGGTGGAGGATATAAAAAAACAAGAAACATGTATCGGCGTTTTGACATTGGGAGGTAATCAAAATTGGGCGGGGAAATTCTAAAGTCCAGATTTGTAATTATTACGTTTAAATATTTTTGTAAAACTTGATCGTAACAGAAAAAATTCGTTGCTGGATATCTGGATGTCTTGCCATAGAAGAGCTGGGTGTCTTTCCGTAGAAGAGCTGGAGGAATTCTGATAGAAGAGCTGAAGGTGCAATGTCCAAGAAGAACTTAGGTTAGGTTATGTTAAAGGACGCGCAAGTACCATATGGCAACCGCTTCACTCGGAGACCTGCGGGTCCATTGGAAAAGGAAGGAGTGGTTGATAGAAGGGGGTGAAGATAGGAGATAGAGTTGTAGAGTGTGATCTACGGCTGAGGAATTTGCCGTGTCGTCTTTAGCCACATGAATCTTCTGGCTAATTGAAGGATTACTATAGGGTCAGTTTTAGAAAAAGAAGACAGATCATGTGACACTAGTTCTCCCACCAGCCTGTGTCTCACATTAATGAGTGCTGGGCAGTGTCAGAGCAAGTGTTCGACTGTCTCGATTTCTTCTTTATCTTGACAGATCCTACAGTAGTCAATGTCGTCGCTGTCCCATTTCAAGGTCATTGCCCTCACCTTACATTGACCCACCACAAGCTTTAGATCAGGTTTCGACAATAACAGTAGCGACTTTGTTATCTTCTCTGAGAGTGTGGGCCAGATTCCTTTGGAGATGGTGTAACCCATTCCGTCTTCTTTCCAAAAAGAGCTGAAGGTCTTCTCTCCAAGAACAGAGGGGAATGTCTTATCGGAAGCAAAAGGTCCCCCTCGAAGAAGATATGAAGATCTTACCATAGAAGAGCTGAGGTCTTGGAAATGAATGAATCTTCTCACAAAAGAGCAATGGAAAACTTTATAGAATATCAGTTGGTCATCTCGCAAAGACTATAGAAGTCCTAAACAAAATCCCCTATATCCCTCTTACTTTAATATTCTAAATTTGCCAAAAATTGTTTTCTTCCTTCTCTCCGCTCCTAGATATGTTATCTTCAATACAAAATGTCTCTACAAGTCTAATATTTTGCTATATCTTTCGTAGTCTCATCGGGAGGTAAACAAAATCGGGCCGGGCTGTTCCAAAGACCAAGCCCAGATTTGTTATTTATCGTTTCAATCTTTCTATAAACTTGATCTAAACCCAAAATTTGTTTCTTTCTTTTCAGGTAAGTGAATATTTTCAATAAACGATATTTATTAAAACACTTATGGTAAGTCGAAAAGTATGTATCCATAAGATGTATCTGGTAGAAATTGAAGACAATTTATTAAAAACTGTAATTTCGAAACTATCATTCTTAAATATAAAATAAAAATTTACTTACATTTTTTTGCGATAAATAAATTTTTCGAAAAAGGATTTCCATATTCACAAATGCGTTTCCCATTGTCTTCTGTGCCTTGTCTTGACGAACTCAAAAAAAATCTATTGCAAAAAATCTAAAATTGTACTGTTATGTCGTTGTTTGGTCTCAAGTGGCAAATAATATGACGCCACATAAAGAAATCCAATGGCAAATAACGCAACACATTTGCACAAAAAAAGATAAAATCTCGACTCGGAAGGAGGAGAAGGAAGGCACTTGGTTGCGAGAGTGCTAACCAAAGTTTTCATATTAGCTAAAGAAACCACACTTTTACCGAAATGAGCATCAATATTATTCCACTTTAAACTTTTGCTAACATCCTCGCCAACTCTTTCGAGCTCTTTCATCATTGCCAGTGATTCAACAGAAAACTAGCTATACTCTGTCCAGAAAGAGCTACGTATCCACATCCAACCAACCAATATAGTGTGAATAGCAACAGAACAACTGTCGATGATCTTGTTCCCTGAATTTTTCCTATTTGTTTTTCTTTTCGCATGGCTAAGGAGGAAAAGCTGAAGACTTGGCCAAGAAATTCTGCCACTAAATACATATATTTTGGTTTAGAATATTTTGTTTGCGCCACAATTACAAATGGAGTGGTGGTATTATCATCGAGTCACACTAGCGAAGCTGGCAACATGCATGTCTGCAATATATGGATGCGGTTCTCTGAACATGTGGTATAACATGTGAACAACTCCATTACGTTATTGATCTTCAAAAATGGTCTAATGTTAAAGTTACGTTATTCTGGGTATCCATTACACATATTACCTAGACGTCATTTGTTGTTTACTCTACCTCTCCTCTACCATGGACGTAGATATAAAAATAGTGGAAACGAATGATACTTGTAGTCTTAAGGTCTTCTGTTGGCATTAGAAAGCAAAAGCCAGCCAGGGAATTCTAATTCTGAAAGTTTTTTTTGAACAGTAGAAGACCTCAACATCTTCTGCAGACAGGGGAAAAAAGTATATGTTCTATATAAGCAATGAAAGCTATGCGGAACTCAAGATCTTTTAAGAGGTTGGTTTCTTCTCATGGGACCTTATAGCAAACCTTGAAGTCTTCTTAAAGCAGACCTTGAGGTCTTCTGAAAGTTTTCTCCTATAAACCGGCATCCCTTCACCTAGAAGAGCTTTAGGTCTTCTCCGAGAAGAGCTGGAGATCTTCTCCGAGAAAAGCTGGAGGTCTTCTCCGAGAAGAGCTGGAGGTCTTCTCCGAGAAGAGCTGGAGGTCTTCTCACAGAAGAGCTGGAGGTCTTCTCACAGAAGAGATGTAGGTCTTCTCAGAGAAGAGCTGTAGGTCTTATCAGACAAGAGCTGAAGGTCTTCTCAGAAGAGCTGAAGATCTACTCAGAAAAGCTGAAGGTCTTCTCACAGAAGAGCTGGAGGTCTTCTCACAGTAGAGCTGGAGGTCATCTCACAGAAGAGCTGGAGGTCTTCTCTCCAGGAAGAGCTGGAGGTCTTTTCCGAGAAGAGCTGGAGGTCTTCTCACAGAAGAGCTGGAGGTCTTCTCCGAGAAGAGCTGGAGTCTTCTCACAGAAGAGCTGGAGGTCTTCTCACAGAAGAGCTGGAGGTCTTCTCACAGAAGAGCTGGAGGTCGTCTCACAGATGAGCTGGAGGTCGTCTCACAGAAGAGCTGGATGTCTTCTCTCCAGGAAGAGCTGGAGGTCTTCTCTCCAGGAAGAGCTGGAGGTCTTCTCTCCAGGAAGAGCTGGAGGTATTCTCTCCCGGAAGAACTGGAGGTCTTCTCTCCAGGAAGAGCTGGAGGTCTTCTCTCCAGGAAGAGCTGGAGGTCTTCTCTCCAGGAAGAGCTGGAGGTCTTCTCTCCAGGAAGAGCTGGAGGTCTTCTCTCCAGGAATATTTAGAGGTCTTCTCTCCAGGAAGAGCTGGAGGTCTTCTCTCCAGGAAGAGCTGGAGATCTTCTCAGAGAAGAGCTGTAGGTCTTCTCAGAGAAGAGCTGTAGGTCTTTTCAGAGAAGAGCTGTAGGTCTTCTCTGCAGGTATTCTCAGAAGAGCTGAAGATCTTCTCAGAAGAGCTGAAGATCTTCTCAGAAGAGCTTAAGATCTTCTCAGAAGAGCTGAAGATCTTCTCAGAAGAGCTGAAGATCTTCTCAGAAGAGCTGAAGATCTTCTCAGAAAAGCTGAAGATCTTCTCAGAAGAGCTAAAGATCTTCTCAGTAGAGCTGAAGATCTTCTCAGTAGAGCTGAAGATCTTCTCAGTAGAGCTGAAGATCTTCTCAGAAGATCTTCAGAGATTAGCTGAAGGTTTTCTCTCCAAGAATCACTAAAGGTCTTTTCTCCAGGAAGAGCTGGAGGTCTTCTCTCCAAGAAGAGCCGAAGGTTTCTCTTCAAA